CACAGAGTCAGAATTTAAAGAATTTCGGGATTCGGACAGATACTTTTCATAGGTCGCATCCAGCAATTTTGTTGACGATGTCTTCCTTGAAGGTATTCTGTCAGCATAAGCTGGGCGCATTTTATGTACAAAATTAATAAAATGTGCAGATTCTATAACTGATAGTGGGATATTACATCCAAAGACAAACTGCGCTAAGGCTGTATTAATTATTTGTTCTTCTATTTCATTGATTGAGTCAATAAAAGCATCGGTCAGCCTTTTCCTTCTTTTTTTGTATTTCTTACCATGAAAGTTTGAGATGTTATAGATTCAGTACTTTGAAAAGAACTAGGTGTGATGGGAAACTCCTCTTGTGAGAAACGACTGCAACTAGATCCTACATCTCCTAGATTGGAATCAAATGTTAAAGTATCAGCATGAGATATTGGTAGTACTGATACCGGTGTAGAATTTGATACGTTTATTAAAGTACCATCTCCTGACAACTCGCAGTCTATTTCCTGAATAGAAGTAATTGAAAATATAATTTAAAAAAAGGTAAACACTTACCATTACAGTGTTGTTATCATGGTTATTCTTTTCAGTGAGATTTACACCAGACAACATATTGGAGTGTTTATTTTTCGACTTTGTATTGCACACACTTCTAGTAAACAATTTAGTATAAAATTTAAATCAATATATTATGACTAATAAATGATTTATATCTATGTGATTTTAACCTCTCCGCGGCTGTATTTGCCAGTGATTTTTCACAAATGAGACATTTGGCGGTGTACTTCCCTTTCACTTTGATTAACTCGAAACCTAAGTTATTAAACATCGGATTTCTTTTTCTTCCTGCCATTTCTGACGGCGTTAAACTATTTACTTTTTGTGAGTTTCTGACTCTAAAAACGTAACCTCACGTTTGTTGTTGGTATTGTTTACGGAAAGTCTACATTGTTTACATTCTTTACGTTGTTTACCTATTCTCTACGACGTAACGTAGACAATTAAAGTCGACGCGTAAAGTCCCATCACTGCTTATTGGTTACATAACCGTAGCACTCCATTGTGATGTTACAAGGCTTACCTGCCAACTATATCGCTGCGACACAATAATGAGATATATAGTAAATGCAGTTAACATTAGGTGTTAGTTACATAACAGGAGTACCACAGTGTGATGTTTAAACGCTTATATGTAAGCTATATTGCTGCGACATAATAATGAGATATCTAGTAAATGTAGTCAACATTACGTGCTGGTTACATAGCATGAGTACTCCATTGTGATGTTATATAGCTTACGTTCCAGGTATATCGTTAAGACATAATCACGCGATGTACTCATTGTTCTTTTGTGAGTACGTACCTGTCTCGTCAATAGCAGAACTGTGTTTACTGGGAAACAACAAATAAATGTATTTGTACCTATGCAGAAGTTTTTCACACATCGCATGTTATGTTTAAATTAAAAACTTGGCAAGAAAAACAAGGATGCATTCAGAGAAATGCCTTAATTCTTTTGAAGAAAAGCAAAAGAGATCAATTTTCCATTTAGGTGGCAGTTGATTGAAGTATTTAGGTCCTCAGTAATTCTAAGCAAATCCTGACCGTTTTAATCGTAAATAAACCTAAATTTAAGTTACTCCCCCAGCGAAGTGCTTTATTGGCACGCAAATCATCACACGTTTGGTGTAAATCAAGAGTTTTCTGTATGTAAACTAAACAGGCACAAATGTGAAGAAGCAGAAGCCGGAGAAGTCTAACGAACGTCGCTGCTGGTTATTGGGTAATCATTTCACGTGCGATACTACGTTGGTAGCCCCTCTCCTATGGAGAACAGCAGTAATTTTAGCTGCTGTTTATGGTTGCCTAGCGAATTTTGTTTTATTTTTCTGCAATTAGTAAAAACGGTTTAACGTTCTAAAGATTGCCATTTATCGGCATTGGACTTCATAAGAACTTTTCCTCTGCTAGAAATAGATTCTCTAAATATGCTCTGAGAGCCTAGCGAGGAAACAATTTTTTGGTGGTTCTGGTTATTAAGAGACTTTGTTTATATTTTCTATGATGTTCTGCGTATGGAAATCATGCGAATCATAATTTAAGAAAGTAACAGCTTCGAATCTACAGCGGATAGTAGTAACAATGTAGTAAAATACATCGAGAGATACTCATATCTTGCATAGAGGCTTAAAACAAATCTAATGGAAATGAATGTGTTAATCCTTACTTTATTCTTAGGATTTTGGAGTGGGCTTTGAACAATCTCCGGATGTATAAACTTTTCAAATTCAGTAATGATGTTATTCTTCTCGAAGTGGCCATGGTTTTAATACATTTTTAAAACGTTGAAAGAAAAAATTCGACGCCACATATATAGTTACTTTTATTAAGGTCTGCTTACATGTTTCGATACAATCGTATCATCTTCAGAGCTACATATATTAAACAGCAGTATCAAGAACACAAAATTAGTGAAACGTACCATTAGAGAAACGTAGCATTTATATTGTGTATTTTAAGGATAACAGGTAATGGCTGCCTACACCCTACTTATGTGAAAGAGGCAAGCAACGGAATACTGGGACCTAAAACATTCCGCGAACCGATATGAATTTAAGCGTTAAATGAGATTGACAATAATGGAGTGAGCTGGTATATTCAACACTCAGTATTATTTACAATATGTACAGACAGGCAATCTAGCAGTTACTGAACTGAAATGTGTGAGTGAGCTGATACCTCAATAACTTGATTCGATTATTTCAAACTTAAATAACTTTAAAACAAATCCAGGCGCTTCGATTGGACAATGAAACTAATTGCACATGGACTGTAGTCAAGTACCGCTGAAATCCAGCTACAATAATGCCCAGCAAGATCTTGACTTCTGGAGCCTCCTTGATTCCTAGCGGTATTCTGAGATACTGGCGTCGGTCAGGTGAAAGCGATGGGCAACAGCCGCAGCTCCACAAGCAAGCCATCGATGGAAGCCAGAGGAAGACCAAAAACTCGAAGGAATAAAGTACTAAATAAATCAGGCCAAAATAACACGATAACGAGGTAACAGGAAAAAAAAACAGAAAGCTCCTATAAGAAAAGGTGTTCTAGCACAATGAAAGATAACAAATCTGATCTTACTCAGGTGGTAGCCGACTCAAAGGGTGATGTCACGTAGCTAGTCTCGAAATTCGGAGCAAGTCCGATAGCTGGCCAGAAACTCCAAAATTTTTATCGAAGTCCCTCAGGAACATAGTTTCTTTAGTTCACCAACAACAGTTAGATTATAGCACTAATCAAAATAAAAAGAAAAAAAATCGATCAAGACGTCCAATTTAGCATCTTTTTGTCGCATTGAAAGCCGCCTTTACCAAAAATCAAATTAAAGTTTCCCGCGGCCGTAAATAATTTAAATCAAGTAGAAGAAATCCTGCAAGAAACAAAGAAATATTTAGTGGACAATGACTCTAAATCTGTGGATGAAAGCATCCAATTAATAAATGATATTCTATTATCTTTGATTGAACGTCTGCCAGAAAAGGAGTCGACAATCAAATTTTTAAGTGAACAGATTAATTGTTTGTCTGCATTCTCTAAGACACGATTTAGATACACGTGGGAAATGATTTTGTTTTGTGGTTTGCTGTATTCCATATCCTCACATGCATACAAATTTTTGAAAAGTTCTGGAAATTTAAATCTACCATGTGCAAGTACTATACAAAGAGTATGCAGTAACTATTTTACTGACCCCCGAATGGAACAAAATGAAAATTGCTTCTTGAAATATGTATCAGCAAAATTTAGCACATTAGAGGATACAGACAAATTAATAACTGTTATGTTGGACGAAGTTCATTTAAAACCATACATGGACTACAAAGGTGGCAATATTGTGGGTCAAGCTAACAACAGTTCAGACGCTGCCACTAGTGCCTTTGTTTTTATGATTCAAAGTCTAAAATCGAGTTACAAAGACGTTGCCCACATCTTGCCGGTAAAAACACTTCATGCTCAAGCCCTGCATAAGATTATCAAAAAAGTAGTAATTGGCCTTGAAAACATTGGATATGAAGTCATAGTTGTAGTATCTGATAATAATCCCATCAATAAAAAGGCAATGTCATTTTTTACAGCACCTCCATCTATAACAAATTCCTATCCTCACCCAGTGAATAATGCCAGACCCTTGTTCTTTTTAATTGACACTGTCCACATTTTAAAATGTATCAGAAACAATTGGTTGAATATAAAGCCTGACCAGAATATCATATATCCCGACTTTCTAACTGACTCCGACTGTACCAATGAAATTTCTAGAATTGCCTCGTTTAACGCCCTGAAACAATTACATGCTTTGGAATGCGAAAAATTATTAAAATATGGATACACATTGTCTTTAAAAGCACTATTCCCATCATCTTTAGAACGCCAGAACGTAAAGCTTGCATTACAAGTGTTTAATCATTCACTAGTTGCAGCTTTGAATGAATTAGGCCCAAAGCGGCACTTTGATCATTTTGAAGATACTTCAATGTTCATTGACATAATATGTAAGTGGTGGGATGTAGTAAATGTAAAGACGCTGTGGAAAGGGAAGAGACTTCGCAACGAACTGGCAGAACCAATTACTAAAACGTCAGGACACATTTTAGAGTTCTTAGAGCAATTTTCACTATGGTTACGTAAGTGGAAAAACATAAACAGCTCGGCAAAATTATCTCCTGAGACCCAGTGGGCGCTTGAAACCACCACCGATGGACTGGTTCAACTAGCTAATTATTGCCTGACTGAAAAAAATTTCACCTTATTCCTCTGTGGGAAAGTACAAACTGATAAATTGGAAGACAGATTTGGAAAATATCGGCAAATGGCAGGAGGGCAATACAAAATTTCCATTCGGCAAGTTTTTCAATCTGAAAACAAGTTACTTATGCAAAGCATCACTCCTTTGATTTTAAAATCAAAAACTTACGGTGAAATCCAAATAACACCTGAAGATCAATCCGACGAAGTTTTTAATGTAGCTAATCCTGAAACGTCCATATCAGCTCCACTGATGAACAATTGTTTTGTGAGTGACGACGATTTAAATGAAATTGATGACGATACGTGGCCAGTTTTAGTGTATGTGGCAGGCTATGCTTCATATGCTGTAAACAAAAAGTTAAAATGTGATTATTGTAAGGTATTTTTAATAACAGATGACTCCATTTTTGCAAGCAATGTAATAACTGCTACTAGCAGGGGGGGGGGGGTTGTGTTACCCTACTACAGACGTGGTGACATGCTGTGCGTTTGTATACTTGACACTTTTAAAGTGTATAGATACAGATTTGGAAAAAATTTTTTTGGATGAAATTGATCAAAGACTTACCATCAAAACTTTAGCAGCAAAATCCATTGGGGAATCAGTCGACAACTTGTTTTTGGACCATCAATGCTCCAAGCATTCTTCAGACAAAATTCTGGATTTTATTTTACGTCCCATTTGTAATATTTTGCTCAAAAATTATTGCAAAAAGCACAACGACAAGTTTTTTAAAACCCCAATGGCCCAGCTAAAGAGAAAAAATTGAATAGACTGTGGTTTTGTTTGTAATTGTTAATTTTCAAGATTAAAATATTTAATTTAAATTTTTTTGAGGTTTTTCTATTATATTTCAATGTCTTGTGAGAGTGAATGTTTATGTTTGTTATTTTTAATTTTTTGCTACACTGGTACTTGTTTAAACATTTTATTACATACCTAGTTATGCAGAAGTGTAGTTCCCGTATGTGGTAGCATGGGAATTCATAAGTTGTTGCTGTTGGGGTTTTTGCATTTATGTAATGTTGTACTTTTGTAAAAAACTCTACTTAGCCTTTAAACAAAACTATGTAGGCCAACAATCCATCTTTAAAAGCAATCTTATATCAATAATGACCCCTTTCTTTAATGGTGGCATTGTAGGTTATGTCTGTTGTTATTGTCTTTATTTATCCATTTTTTGTGCAAACACACTTTCAACGATATTATGCAGACTAACGAATGATTTCTAAAATACATTTGCATTATTAATGACGATTACTTGCCTTTTGTAACAATTTACAGAATGTTGACATTTTGATGCGGACCCATTACCATGACGTCACAAAACTAGTGCGCAGGCCTTATGTCTAGAAGGTGTTGGTACAATATACGACAGTAGATAGTGCCTAGGATTAGTGGGGTAATAAATCATGTTGACAGGTGACGTTATGTTGACAGCTGTCAATCAAGATAACGATCTTAATGGATTTTTGACGTGTGCTGTCAATCAAGATACCGATCTTAATGGATTTGATTATTCATAATTTAATTTTTAATCGCGAACGTAATTAAATTAATTATATCATTATTAAATTTAATTAGATCACTATTAATTTGATAGCGGATTTAAATAATTTAAATTTAAATATATATTTTTATTTGTGTATTTCGGGTTGCAAGCATATGTACATAAAGACGATAATGTTTTAAGATTACGCAATTGAATCAATGATTAAAATACTAATTACACCATCATTAATTCATTCTGAATATAATACGATTTGATGTGGGTTAATATCTGAAGCGTTTTGATAATTCTTTGATCGATTGCATTATTAACTAAAAATTAGATCGTAATGACCATTAGCCCGTGCCAATAGCTCAATAATGATGACGCACTCTAGGCAAGCGACTCATCATCTACAAGCACAGACTTATTTCTGCATGTATTTTCTTGTTATACCCATTCTCCGAAGTCATTAATCACTAGCCCTACGGCAACATCTCATTATGATGTTTGTCCGTTAGCTTTTTGTTATTAAAGACATACCGACGACGCACTTTTTGCAGACGAGTCATCATCTATAAGCACAGACTTGTTTCTGCATGTATTTTCTTGTTATACTCCTTGGATTTTGATTACTCATAATTTAATTTTTAATCGCTAACGTAATTGAATTAATTATACCATTATTAAAATTTAATTAGAACACTGTTAACTTGATATAGAATTTAAATAATTTAAATTTAAATAGATATTTTTATTACCGAACAGCGGGTTTACATAATAATAATTATATAAATATATACATACAGCTATACTCTTATCATATTTCTACACCGCTGTCGCCGTCGTCTTCCTCATCCGATAGTGGATAATACCTTTCTCTTGCGAAGTGGGTGTAGTGGAATCTAGAGCCTGTGAAGCCAAGCCGGCTACCTTGGCAAACAAATCTTCGGCTCGTCACAATTAGTACATTGCATCTTGCGCAATATACCCTCGCCAACGTATGTATGTGGCCTATTGTGATTTTTAGCACAAAAGCGACATATAAATCTTTTTCGTAGATCGTTTCTAGACGGGGCCTTCCGCCTAATGGAAAATATTATTATACACAGATCTAGAAAAAAAGAAAAAAACTTATAAGAAATGAGAATAAATTACATTCTTAAAAACTTACTATTGGCCATATCGTTCACAGGAATATCACACACGGTACTACGAAGCCGAATGTTAGAATAGGAGCGTCTGTATTTTGTAAAGTTTAAAGTAAAACTAATTTTTCAGAGGGATGACAAAGGGAGGGATAGGGTAACGACAGGTACGAGTCTTACAATTTTGCCGAAAGTTAAATTTTCTTTGTGAGTAACATTGGGCGCCACTATGCTAATAGCTTATCGCAGGTAATCACACAGAGAATGTTAAGTCCTCTAAGGTCTTGCAGAGACAATTACTTATGCACTTAAAGAAGTACATGATGTAAAGTTAAGATAAGTTTTCTGTCTATACTAATAAAGAAGGCGCCAATATTGCATTACCCCTTTTAAATGTCTGAGACGTCGGTGAGTACCTTTTTCCAGATGATTTAACTAAGCCGACAATGTACATTGTTCCGTACATTTAAATATTTTTCAAGAAATGACTTTACATAGAAATGTTTCACTACCCAACCACTTAGTCAGATCCCCAAATGATGGCACAGTGACTGTAAGTCCTGTCGCGACTTGCAAAGACGGATATATTTGATGTCAAGCAATGATAAGACAACCTTTCAGTGTAGAGTAATAGAAAATAGGCGCCGGAGTGCATTACCGCAAATCTGCGAAGGGCAAGTTGACGTTTTTGGCATCTCCATTTTTCAGACGATTTAACTAATTCGACAGTTATTTCGGATACAGATTTCCGTGTATTGTGTCATGGGTAAACGGCGCATGTACCATTTAGCTCTCGATAAATGCCAATAGGGTTTATCTGATTCCTACCACTTTTTTACCCCACCCTCATTGGTTGACGTCTGCCTAACAATGTGCATTGTGAAAATTCTTAACACCCTCTCTTGTAAAACAGCATTCGTCGGTCATCAAGATTTGTCGCGGAAATTGTGCATTTGCTTCACATCTCAAATCTCTTCTATTCCTTCGATATTCGGCCATCTCAGTCTGTACAATATACGAGTTCGGAGAGTAGTGCTCTCTTATGACTTTGACCGGCTCCCACTCTCTTCCTTTTCATCATAGGATCCTGACTTTCCGTTAATTTTGGCAAGTTTTTGCTATGTCGGTTATAGTAATATCTTGCGCGCTCTTGTTGTGTTTCCTTCTTTTCTATTATTGTTTGTTCAACTTTGGGTACCAAAAGATGTGACAAAATCGGTAATTTACTCCTAAGTCTTCTGCAATAAAACCCCAGAGCTGGTGTATATGTATATTTTTTATAGGTGTATTGCGGTATGCTAACAGCAGTGGATAAATATCAGTTCGTTGTTCGAATGCTTTTCGTAGAATGTTTTTTGCTATTTGTACACCTCCTTCAGCCATTCCATTTGACTGAGGGTACCTTAGACCTTGAGGTAGTTAACCCCTTCGCATCGGGGACGTTTTTACGTATATGTCGCTGAAAAACGGGCTTGTTTTGCTTCCCGTTATACGCTCATCTAGATATGATGCAATCGGGTGTCTTCCGCTATACGGGCGCGGTAAAATATCTAGCGCAATTATGACTCTCCTTGTATTTATAAAACAAAAATAATCTTCATCATCCTTATTACTTTGATACACTAATTCTTCGAGTTATTTTTCAGTCGGATATTTACGCTTAACACTCATCTTTAAAGTTGATCGAGTTTATGGACAAGTAAAGTTGATATTGCGCATTCGATACAAATCGACGCAAACGGGTGAATTCCGATGTTAATGCATGTTTTACCTTTGCGCGCACAGGCGCTTCCCGATTATCAACGATATCATATTTTTGCGCATTTTGGCGAATCCCGATGCGAAAGGGTTTGTGATATCCCAATCTTTGGCAAATTTTTCAAGTTGTAGACTATTAAAAGGCATATTATCAGAGACGAATTCTTCAGGAACTCCATTTCTTGCAAACATTTCTTGAAACTTGCTAATCAATTCTTGCGCGGTTTTTCCTTTTAGTTTGATAATTTCTAGCCAATTTGAATAATAGTCAATTGCAATTAGATAGTTTCTTGTCTTAACAGTTAAAATGTCTGATGCAATTTTCATCCATGGGCGTTCTAGAATCTTATGCTGAATTAATGGTTCTTTCTCATTTTGCCCTAGGTATTTCTGACAGATTTCACATTTGTTGACCATCTCCTCTATTTTGTTATTAATACCCGGCCAGTATACAACTGATTTTGCTTTAAGCTTGAACTTTTCGATTTCTTGATGTCCTTCATGTATCTGTCCGACAATCTCCTCTCAGAACTCTGATGGTATTATCAATCTATCACACAGAAATATTAGCTTACCATCCGTGTTAATGGCATGTTTCAGTTTCCAGTATGGAATAACGCTATCTGGTATTAAATGTTACTCACTTGGCCAACCGTCACGACAAAATTTATGAAGAGTTCTGAACGTTTCATCCGTGTGTATTGCCTTCATCAGTTTCTCTTTCTTTTTTTCTGACATGACTGTATGTTTAGAAACACTATGGATAACTGCTTGTAAGTCTGGATCATCTTCAACATGATCCTTACGTGTGCTCTCGATAAGGCATCTGCCAAGTTTAATTTGCATCCTGGGACAAATACGACTTCAATGTCATATTTGAATAGTTTCAAAAGCATTCGTTGCAATCTGTATGTTCCTTTACCAATGTCTTTTTTAATAATAGTTATTAGGGGTTTGTGGTCTGACTAAATGCAAACTTTTTTCCATACACGTAAAAATGGAACTTTTCTAAACTATACACTATGACCAAGAACTCATTTTCAATTTGAGCATAATTCTTTTCATTGTCTGTTAATGACCTTGAAGCATACGCTACCGGATGCTTATTTTGAAGCAAACAGCAACCAATCCCATCTTTTGATGCATCTGTTTGTATCGTAACTGACAGTTTTTGATAAAAAAATGCCATTGTCGGTTCTCCAATCCCATACAACATCGTTCTTCACTAACTCTCTCAACGGTACATTTACTTTGCTAAGTTAGGTATGAATGATGACAGATAATTGGCCATTCCAAAAAATTGTTTTACTTCTTCCTTGCATTGACCTGTCTCCATTTCCACTGTCGCTCTTACCTTGTCACTGTCAGGACTTAAACCATTTTCTGATATGTTAAAGCCAATATATTTCACCGATTTTACTTTTAGTTGTATTTTTTCTTTATTAAAGTTAATGTTATTTTTCCGCGTAGTCTCTAATACTGTTGTCAGAATTTTATCATGTTCTGTCTCATTTTCCCCAGTTATGATTATATCGTCAAAGACAACTTGAACTCCTTCGATCTCCTCAAATATTTCTAAAACATACTTTTGAAAAACTTCTGGTGCTGAACTTATGCCAAACGGCATTCGCAGAAATTTATAGCGCCCAAAACATATATTGAAGGTGCACAGATCAGAACTCTCCTTATCTAATTTAATCCATCAAATACCTGAGAAGGGAAATGTTCGACCACT